CAGTAAAACTGTCTTCGATAATACATACATCACAGTAAAGCCTGGACGATTCTGACTGCCTAGATCTTGTAAAATCAATATGAAAAAAAAGTCCATTACTTTGTTCAGAGAGTCGCACAGCAGATAATGAACATAGATCTGGAATTAGCGTTTCATGCATCTGCTGGTGCACATATCACTGCAAAAAGCGACGGTCACCAAGTATAATCCCTTTAAGAATCGACTTTTGATACTGCGTTGAAAAGCATCTCGAATTATTAAGGGAAATGGCATTGAAACTTTGTGAAATTATCTTTGTTACATTCAAATAACTTCATTAGCACTATAAATTACCAGCGATTATCCAAAATGGTCACTAAGAATGGAAAAATCTCGCAGCAAATAAAAGTATTTTCTACATCTAATCACATCATTCAGAAACTTATGACGTAAGCACTTACCAGCTAACGACGATGTCTGCGCCTACGCAAGGAATGCCTGCTGTAAGTAAAAAGGCCAAAAATCAAGTTCAAATCCTTCGCTCCTCGAAAATTTTGCAAGTGGTCCTCTAAATGACAATGCTGACGAGGTAGTGAGGTCAAATGAATTGAGCGGAAGTGAAAGAATAGAAGTTAGTGCGCAAATAATGCTCTTACAGATGTAGTTTGTACCTTACGTGTGTAGATCACTGGCTATAAATGCCGACTGCACTCTAAGTCTCACCGTTGTTGTTTGTCTGAAATGACGCACACTATGTATTGTTTGTTATATATGTGCACAGAAATGTGTTTTGATGTAGAAAAATTGTAGCTAAATAGGTAAGAAGCCATCTATCCTGTATAACCTTTCACAATTTCAACCAATAAGCCCCACTTGAACGCAGACTCTAGGCACTGACGGAAGTGGTGCGTCAGATTTTACAAGACTGAGTCATTGTTCTATTAGTTGTTGTTTTTATCCAAGCATGAACTGACTTCTCCTTTATTTGCCATCTTTTACGCTTTCGCATTCACAGTAGTAATAATCAATGTCAAAAATATCAAAATGTCAAAAAAATGGCGCGATTAAAGCGAGGGCAAAAGTTCAGCTCCCTAAATTAGTAACCTCTAAATAAACGAAAACACTTAATGTAGATCATTGCATGTTTGCTGTGATATAATATCCTAAAGCGCTTTTGAATAGGTTCTATCATTCTATTTTGAAGATGTAAAACTTGAAAGGCTTCAAGCTTTCTTTATTTTACAGACCAGTGCGTCACCTCTGCTTCGCAGAGGTTCGCACTGGCTCTACTATCTATGTGCCTTACTCATTCTCGTAAAATCGTGGCACTGGAACTCACCGCGCTATGCCGACTACCACGAATAAAATGTAAACAACCACTCATTTAGAAAGTCTTTTCACGTGAGATCGGTGATTTCGAGTGGATGAAACTTTTCGCAGGAAGACAAACGCAAATTTGAATAGGTTTTTGGATTTGTCATGGCTTGGTAGTCGCCATAAAGGTAATGATAACCGTGAGCTACATCTTTGTGCGAAATATGGGCAAAATAGGGCCAGTGCGTCACCTCTGCTTCGCAGAGGCTCGCACTGGCCTTATTTTCTGTATGCGTTACTCATTCCCGCATACTAATGACATTGAAACTCACCGCGCTATGTAGGCTTAGGCTATCACAAATTCGTAAGCAACTACTCATTCGTAGAGGTTTTCCATGTGAGGTCGGTATTTTCGCATGGATAAAATCTTTCTTAGAAGAACAGATGCAAATTCGAATAGGCTTTCGGAATTTTTATGGATTGGTAGTCGCCGTAAGGACAATAAACATAGTGGGCTACACCTCTGTGCGAAAATCTTCTCAAATAATCAGGTAAAATCTTGAAAAATTGACTATCGAGCAATCAATACTTTTCGGCGTCGTTTTTGTAAAGTAGTAGACTTTTGATCCCTTTTTCGGAGCAAAGCCCATGGCTTGCACACTGAGATGCTAAGCACATCCACGACTCTGCAAAAAGTGGTGAAAGTATGAAAGTGGATGATGATGCTTCGCAGAGGATCGCACTGGTCCTACTCTATAGTTTTTGAGCAATATCTCCTCTTAAGAAAGGCAAAGTGTGGTACGTCCACAGCAGGTACTGGCTCTATGCACCCCATGAATATGGTGCCGTGCGGGTCTGCGCGTCCATGCTTGTCCTCAGATCTAAACAGCGCCCTGCCTCATCTCTCAAATTGCTTTGAACCTCCCCGAAAAATTCTGATCGGGAAGAATATGATGTAAATAACCATTCATTCTGCGAGATTTTCATGTGAAACCGGTAAAATTAGCGTGGCGAAACTTTTTGGTGAACGGTTAGTGTAATTTTGAATCCGTTCTATCAATGCGATGTTGGCTAATTAGAACAACAACAGATGCACGCTACATTCCCAGCCTAGAATATTTCCAGCTATACAGTGAGTGTTTTGAAAATGAACAGTTGAGTCATCTCTTTTTGACGCCACTTTTGCACGAAATTAACTTTTTGCTATGTATTTGCGATGAATTCCAGGGCTTAGAAGATGTGCAAGTTAAAAGTCTTACAGTTACTGCAGACTCCTTGCATTAGGATCTCATTTTTGCCTTAGCAAATGCCTGGTGGATCCGTTTGACTCGCGATTTTCAACCGAAACAGATTCGCTCACTTCTTTACATAATCAACCTGGGTGCTGCTGGCGTGCTATAGCCAAAAAATCAGCTCGAAATATTGGCTGCAGCTTGCGCTATGAAATACACTGATTCGCAGAGGCTCGCTGTGTCCTACTCTGTACGCCTTACTCATTCATGCCTTGTGATGGCATTGAAACTCACCGGACGATGCCAAATATCACGAATAAAACGTAAACAACTACTCATTCCAAAAGCTTTTCCATGTGAGAACGGTAATTTTGAGAGGATGAAATTTTTCGCAGAAGAACAAACGCAAATTTGAATAGGTTCTTGAACTTTTTTCTGGCTAGGTACTTGCTATAAGGACAATAACACTCTGAGCCACATCTCTGTGCAAAAATCTTCTCAAATGTTCAAGTAAAACCTTGGCAAATCGACCATCGAGCAATCAATACTTTTCGGCGTCGTTTTTGTAAAGTAGTAGACTTTTGATCCCTTTTTTGGAGCAAAGCCCATGGCTTGCACATTGAGATGATAAGCACATCCACGACTTTGCAAAAAGTGGTGATATGGATCCGATATGCGGGCCGAAAGCCAATTGGACCCGGCTGACGCGCAATTTCTGAGGGATCCACTTAACAAATCCGCTCGTGCTTTCGCATGGTGGACTTTTATACTGGTAGCATGCGCTATGCAAGATTTGGGCTTAGGACGTTGGCTGGAACTCGCGCTATGAATTTCGTGACAGACAGACATTCAGACACACACACACACACAAAAAAACGTAAACACCCTTAGCGCGTTATTATAGTAGGATAAGAATGGTAGTCACTCTAGCCTACCTCAAGATTATGCACTCGTCTTTAGTTTGCATTTTTTTTGTTTCGACAGGAAAAGCACTACAACTTTTTTCAATAGATTATTTACCTGTCAGCGCGGAATCAAGACAATTCTATGAAAGTTATAGCTCGATAAGTTTTCGTATGCAAATCTTCTTCCGCTGTTACAGTACTCAATACTGCAAAAATCTTACAAGAGCTCGTAAAGTCGCTAGTCAGCTATGTTTTAGTGAAGTTCTGACCCTCAAAGCAAGTTGGCTTTGACTGAGTGGGCAGGTTCACTGAGCATTTAGAAAAGGTCAAAATAAATATTGCTATGGGCGTCCCATTACTCATGCCTTGTAGAGAAGTGAAGTTTTCCTTCGAACTAAAAAAGAGCCTACCTTCTCGAATAATGGAGACGAGGTTATCTTCTGCTAAGCAAATCTATGGAAACATTAGATACAGGTACGCGTTACTATTTTGACAGTTGCAACTTGATGACATTTTCGATGAAAGCAAAAAATTTATTTATGGCGATTTCATAATTATGAGGCATGGACTTTCTTCGATATTTTGCTACGTATATGCCCCTTTTGAAACCCGAAAATACCAATATTTTGGCCTTGCAAGCAATTTCTATCATATGTCACTAACGGCTGTCATTCAAGGTGCAGGGAAACTACGGTAGCATTAGGCCTCGGACAGAGTTCAAGCGATATGATCGTCGCGATTCAATCACTACAAGACAACTGTTACGAGTTCATTGCATGCCAATCAGCTTGCATTTCGGTTGTGGTACTTTTATAGCTCGAAATTTTTGGATGTAAAATGAAAATGAATGAAAATCGCGGCGATTATATCGCGACGATCAAATCACGTGAACTCTGTCCGAGGCCTTAGGCGACCTCGAATGTCTTTTCAACCAAACATTTCATGATTTTTCGTTGACAGCATAGAGCATCTTCAGGATTTCATATTGATATCACTGATAACAGCGTTTGATACCCCTCTAACAGAACTCTAACCAATTCCTCACCAATTTTGACAATAGCAGCTATAGAGAACTCATCCGTGGATGCCAAATTTGTCATTTGCTATATTTTGGACAACATAGCTAGATTTTTTTTCGGTATGCTAGCCCCACATCTCATCACATCGTAAGCTCATCACATCGTAAGCGTGAGCTAAAACATCCTTTATTCCTATAAACCATATCTGTCTTGCCTTGGCTCATAGTCAGTTCACGTTTATTGAGAAATAAGATCAAATAAGTAAAAAAAAGTAATCGAGAGTGTTTTATATTACGGGTCATATGACTGAACAGCTTGCTTTGCAAGCGGCATACTGTATCTCGATAGGGCATGGTAGATCATGACCTAACTTGTCAGTCGATAGCGCCATCGATTGGCGTCGCTTCATTTCTAAGCTTACCGACGCCAAAGCTGGTCTCTCACTTCTACTTGTTTTATTCGTTGAGCCTCGTAGTTTCCTGGTTTTTCGTGCTTGATTGTGTAATTTCCGTAGTTTGCGAACATGATATATTCTTTTCAGGTGGTCAACCTGCTCCTTGAGTACGGTAATGATTAACAGTTAAAGCAGCGAAGCCGAAATAATTAGTAAGTTTACCAATTTTATTAGCGGATGCGTGGTCAGGCAAACTTTCTTAACCCCTTTTTTAGCGATCGGTAGCTCGTTCTGCAAGTTTACCGCCCTAGTTATGCTAAAAAAGTTCTCAGGGAAAAGCATCAAATTTTTTTAGTTTAACCGACTATCAAATATCTCAAAAAACGAAATTTTCAAATTTGGATAGGAATATTCCTCTAATATCATTCGATTTTCTCATTGAATGTTAATCAAGAACCTACGAGACGAATGTCTAGAGAGACAAAAACATCGATGAGTTGAAAATTTCATATTAATATAACAAATTACAATACCACCCGTAATTTGTGAAAAAAAATGGCGGCGGCACTTAACTCACGCGGCGCCGCCGCAGTTAGGTGACAAACGCCGCGTCGCGCAACAAAAGTCGGCGGAAAAGCGGCATTTGCCGCCTAACTTTGCCGCGCAACGCCTAACTTTTTTATAAAAGAGACCTTATCTTGATCCAAAATTTATGAATTCTTTATATAAGAGTACCATTCAACTCAGCTCGGCGAGGCGCATCTTCCAGTATACGGATGTGCCTAGTTGTGGGATATAAGTTTCCTTCCTGGAATTTTAGTGTAAATGGACCATTCAGTGTGCTGATTCCAGAAGCTACATACAAATTCTGTTGAGCACTGCAGAAATAGGGCAGGTATAGTTTAAGAGCTCATTCTGCATGGATATGTGTGAAACTGGGCTTTTCTCGGCGAAGTATGACGGGTCCCAAAATGCAGGAAGACAAAGGGAAATGGTTGGAAATCGCATGAGAAGCACACATCGCGGAATGCCGCGCGTGCTGTGCAATGTACAATACCACCCACAGAACGGGAATTTCGCGAAATTCCAGAAATTTCGCGATTCCGGAATATCGCAAAATATGCAGCGCCATAACTTCCTTCGGAACAAATATATTCTGAATACGAAAGTAACATTGTGTTCAGCTCGTCAAGGCGAATCTTTCGACATACGTCATGTCATCTATATCTTGTTTCCAGTTTTCTCAAATTGTTCTGAGGAGATCCCTTTGCAAGTATGTAACGCAGCGCCTATTCGACATGAAAGCTTCCAGTAAACAACATTCGATAGTGCTCTTCTTGTACATTATAGTGCGCTAGAAAGCTGTCGCAGACTTCTTTTCAAAAGAGAAAAAAGCGTTGGTAAATTCTGGAAAAATCACTCGTTTCCAGATTCTACTCTCCGTAACCTTCTTTGGAGTAAATATTTTCCGAATCCGAAAAATGCATTGTGCTCAGCTCATCAAGGCAAATCTTTCGGTGTGCAGAATGTCCTTGATTTCGTGATTCCAGTATCCTCAAAACTTTCTGCGGGCGTCTATTCGCAAAGGTGTGAAGCAGCGCGTATTGCCCCCAGTAGATTCAGAAAGACCCCTAGTAGATTCAGAAAGAATTTTTCGATAGTACTTCTTCTGTAGATTAGGGGCGCTAGAAATTAGCAGAACACTTCTTTCCAAAGGAGCTAGAAGGGCTGGTGAATTTTGGAAAAATCATGTAGTTCCAAATTTTTTTCAACGTAACTCTAAAATATGAAGCTCTCTTGCTAAGCAGATGTGATTTTCGTAATCAGCAGGTCGGATAACTCTTATGAGCAAGTTTTCCAAGATGTTCGAGTAATTTCATTTTTTCTCGTTTTATGCTCTGAAGCTGGCCGATGGATTTTGGTCAAAATGTTGATGCTCTTAAATTGCAAGGAAACTTCGCTTGTAGAGGTTTTCGAACACGCTATTTACGAAAATCAAGTTCTTTGAGGATTACAGGGTCTTTTTGGTGAGATACGGTGAGGTGACTGTAACTGAATCACGAAAGTGCGTATCTTTGCCCGCACTTCTCGCGTATCTGTCAGCAACATTGCCTGCTTGCTTTTCCCAGTCAAAGTTACTAGGAACTGTGCTACCGAATGGTGCATGACTCAGGCTCCAGTCTATAAAATTTGCTGAGTTATGAGCTTACGAAAACACATCCTCATGAATTTTGCCCAAAATGTAAAGATCGCAAATTTCGTCGAAATTCCACCGTGAGCGCTTGTATGACACTCGCATTGCGGATATTGCGTTCGCTTCGCCCAAAGGCTCCCACTGTATTGAATATGGTACTTGCGTATGCCTCAGCTGCTCATTTGAATATCAAAGCTATTTCGGTGGCTAGAACTCAAACTAGAAATCTAACACAATAAGATCCATTAAGGACATGAAAAGATTTTGATCAGCGTGTTGTACAAGCGCTCACGGTGGAATTTCGACGAAATTTGAGATCTTTACATTTTGGGCAAAATTCATGAGGATGTGTTTTCGTAAGCTCATAACTCAGCAAATTTTATAGACTGGAGCCTGAGTCATGCACCATTCGATAGCACAGTTCCTAGTAACTTTGACTTAGAAAAGCAAGTAAGCAAGTTCTCTGACAGATACGCGAGAAGTGCGGCCAAAGTTAAGCACTTTCGTGACGAAATTACAGTCACCTCACCGTATCACTCCAAAAAGACTCTATAATCCTCAGAGACCACGATTTTCGTAAAGAGCGTGTTCGAAAACCTCTACAAGCGAAGTTTCCTTACAATTTAAGAGCATGAGCATTTTGACCAAAATCCATCGGCCAGCTTCAGAGCGTAAAACGAGAAAAAATGAAATTACTCGAACATCTTGGAAAACTTGTCCATAAGAGTTATCCGACCTGCTGATTACGAAAATCACATTTGCTTAGCAAGAGAGCTTCATATTTTAGAGTTACGTTGAAAAAAATTTGGAACGACATGATTTTTCCAAAATTCACCAGCCCTTCTAGCTCCTTTGGAAAGAAGTGTTCTGCTAATTTCTAGCGCCCCTAATCTACAGAAAAAGTACTATCGAAAAATTCTTTCTGAATCTACTGGGGGCAATACGTGCTGCTTCACACCTTTGCGAATAGACGCCCGCAGAAAGTTTTGAGGATACTGGAATCACGAAATCAAGGACATTCTGCATACCGAAAGATTTGCCTTGATGAGCAGAGCACAATTCATTTTTCGGATTCGGAAAATATTTACTCCAAAGAAAGTTACGGAGAGTAGAATCTGGAAACGAGTGATTTTTCCAGAATTTACCAACGCTTTTTTCTCTTTTGAAAAGAAGTCTGCAACAGCTTTTTAGCGCACTATAATGTACAAGAAGAGCACTATCGAATGTTGTTTACTGGAAGCTTTCATGTTGAATAGGCGCTGCGTTACATACTTGCAAAGGGAGCTCCTCAGAACAATTTGAGAAAGCTGGAAACAGGATATAGATGACATGACGTATGTCGAAAGATTTGCCTTGACGAGCTGAACACAATGTTACTTTCGGATTCAGAATATATTTATTCCGAAGGAAGTTATGGCGCTGCATATTTTGCGATATTCCGGAATCGCGAAATTTCTGGAATTTCGCGAAATTCCCGTTCTGTGGGTGGTATTGTACATTGCACAGCACGCGCGGCATTCCGCGATGTGTGCTTCTCATGCGATTTCCAACCATTTCCCTTTGTCTTCCTGCATTTTGGGACCCGTCATACTTCGCCGAGAAAAGCCCAGTTTCACACAAATCCATGCAGAATGAGCTCTTAAACTATACCTGCCCTATTTCTGCAGTGCTCAACAGAATTTGTATGTAGCTTCTGGAATCAGCACACTGAATGGTCCATTTACACTAAAATTCCAGGAAGGAAACTTATATCCCACAACTAGGCACATCCGTATACTGGAAGATGCGCCTCGCCGAGCTGAGTTGAATGGTACTCTTATATATAGAATTCATAAATTTTGGATCAAGATAAGGTCTCTTTTATAAAACAGTTAGGCGTTGCGCGGCAAAGTTAGGCGGCAAATGCCGCTTTTCCGCCGACTTTTGTCGCTCGACGCGGCGTTTGTCACCTAACTGCGGCGGCGCCGCGTGAGTTAAGTGCCGCCGCCATTTTTTTCACAAATTACGGGTGGTATTGTATGATGACAAAACATCTCAGTAGAGACATCAAGGGCCTTGAGACCTAGAAGCCTACACCTATGATGATTATGAAAAAATCCAAAACAAAACAGGTTAATTAGTCCGAATCGTGGCGTGACTACTGAGATTGAGTATTTACTGCAACAAGGGTAAGGCGCCTCGCATTTTGTTCAATTTACGGCGCTGGGACTATCAAAACACAAACGCCCTCCTTTGAGTTGTGAATTGAAATCTAGTCCATGGTTATCGAATTTTCGAATATTCGATGACTACAGAATGATCGAATTGATGGCCATCGAATAAGCTCGGGAATAAGATTCACAGTTGGAACTCTCGATTCAACATTCGAATATAATTCGAAATTTATTGATATTTTCGAAATCGAAAATCGAATTTTTAATGTGGTCTCCTTTTAGAAGTTTTACTGAAGATGGTTGAGCAGATATGCGGTTAAGCAGATGTTGATGCTGAGCGTGCATTCGCGCAGTCGGGTCTTTAGTTCATAAAATTCCTTCTTCACAAATATCGAGGTGTGGATTGTTTAAGGTGGGACTTCTCCAGCACAATTTGCAAACTGCTGCGCGCCACTCACAGCGTTTGTGCCGCGAACTTGAGGCGGTTACTGTAACGTAAAAAAGAGTTGATTAGCCGCTTCCGTGTCCATTCAATACATATGCCGCGCATATGGAGTAAGAGATCCAGAAGTGAATTTCACATTTCCTTTAAAATAGCGAGTGATAGCATGTTGAACTTTGCCCTAGTATGACGTCCTTGAATGTCTACAACAAGCGACAACATACTAACTTCCTGCTGCTTTATGGATTATGTTGAAGCTAGCAAGTTTTGAGGATACCTTAGCAGAATTGCCGTAATATTAAGTTGTCGGATAATTTGTGTTACACTTTTCTCAAATTTTTCCACAAAATTCCAGAAGCTTCCTCAAAATCCCAGATTTGCGACGCGCTTAGGACATAGCAGGGTCTACCCACCAGCATGATT